GGCGCTGCCGCCCCGCCCGCGGGGCTCGCTCCACAGGCGGGGCGCTCCTCCTCCCCGCCCGCTCCCCCGCCTCCCCTTACCAGCCTCGAACGTATCCCTATCCCTAAGATTGACACGCCAAAAGGCGATGACAATCTTAGGGATTCGCCCTCAAAAAATAAGGGAATCCCTAAGATTGTCATCGTGATGAGGAGGTGCCCAGCATAGGGATAGGGATATGTTCCAGGCTGGTGATCCCCCTCCGTTCGCTTTCCCCTCCGCCTCCCCCGCCTCCCTCGCGCGCCGCCATGGTGCTCGTGGGGCTGCCGCCGCTGGTGGCCTCCCCATGCGGTCGGGAGCCTGGGCCCGGTCTCGCCGCCTGACCTCGTCCGCGGGCCCAGCGCTTTGCCGGATGCAGCCCCGCCTGGACCGCACATGCACTCGCCGCGCCTCGTCGAGCGCCACCCACCTGGGCGGCCCTCGGCCCTCGCCCCTTGTCCCAGCACCTCGTGCGCTGCTGCGCCGGCTTCGCTGCTCCGCCTCTCTGCAGTGCCCGCCGCACTGGGCCCCGCCCGCGCCCGTGGGTGCCCGATGCCCCAGCGCCGCGGCCCGGCAGCTGCCATGGTCCCCGCCGGCGGGGCTGGCCGCGACCGCGTGTTCAGGTGCAGACCCGTCCGCCCCTGAGTGGCCTCGTCTCCCCCCCGCCCCCCCTCCGCGCGGCCGCCCGCCCTGCCGTTGTCCCCTCCTTGCGCGCTGGCCAAGTCGCTTGTCGGCTCCCCCGTCTAGCTCTTTCGCTGGTGCAGCCAAGCCTGCATCGAAAGTTTGCGTGTGTGCGTGTGTGCGCACGTGCGTGCGTGCGTGCGCTCGTGCGTGCGAGCGTGCGTGCGTGCGTGCGTGCGTGCGTGCGTGCGTGCGTGTGCGTGCGTGTGTGCGTTTTTTGTGTGCGTGTGCGCGTGTGTGTGTGTGTGTGTGTGTGTGTGTGTGTGTGTGTGCGTGTGCGTGTGCGTGTTTGTGTGTGCGCGTGTGTGTGAGAGAGTGGTTGTGTGTGGTGTCGTTGTTCGATATTGTGGTTTCGATCAGATTTTCACCATCAGTGGTAAGTTACCCTGAATCTCAACCTTCACAACAGCTTGGTAACAAAACATCTTCCTTGCACGTCACAGCTGTCGGGGGTCCCAAGTCCAGCTTTCCCAACCGAGCTCTCACGGAATGGGAGGGTGCCGAATTGACAGAGTGAGAGAGAGGCATTCGGAGGAATCAGCCACTGGTAAGCAGCAAATGCAGGATGCGGTTTCGAAGCCATCGTTGCTTCGCTGATGTTCAAGCATGCCCGAGGCAGGAGGGGGCAACACCTGAGACCCAAACACGTCTGCAGGTTGGCCTGCAAGGCATGCCGTTCTCAAGGTCTGCGTACCCGCGTCGGTGCAGTTTAACGTATATTTTACACATGACGTCGTAGCCCCCCTCGTGTACGTTGTGGCCCGTCAGCTTCTTTATTTTGACAACAGTGGGTTCGCACCGCTCCCGCCGTTTGGTTGGCGATCGGGTCGTTTGGGAATGGGCGGCCCTCGTGTGTCTGGCGCCGATGCGAGCTCAGTGCTCTCACGCGCCCTGCGGCCGTCCCGCTTCGACGAACCTGCGAACAGGCCGTGCGCAGCTCGACCAAGGGACCAGCCTGTCAACAGGGCCGCGCCCCCTGGCAGGGCCACGGGGTTCTGAGGGCCTCTGACCTCCTCAGGTTCGGGACGCGCGGCGGGGCCACGGTGTGGCCGCCCGCCCTTCCAGCACCCCCACGCGCTGGGCCCGCCGCGGGCCCATGCGGACGAGACCCTCGCCGTTTGAGTGGTCATTCGCCGCAATGAGAAGGCACGGCTCCGTGTACTTCTCGTGAGTGCACTTGGGGCGGCAGGCCGTACCTGAGTATCAATCTCCTGCCTCTCCCGTCCACAGTTCCTCACTGTCCTCATCATCCCCTTTCCTCCTCCGTCTTGATCCGCCATCCTCCGCTTTCTGCCCGCCCCTCTCCTGCTGCTGCTGCTGCTGCCCCTCCTTGACAAACACGTCCCTGCCTGGTGCGTAGGTCCACACTCGGGCGGGAAGGCCAATCTATGCCTGACCGCGAATGCCATGCAGGGAGGTGCAGGGACGGAGGAGGGGGGGTGGAGGAGGAGGAGGCCGAGGGGGAGGAGGAGGAGGAGGAGGAGGAGGAGGAGGAGGAGGAGGAGGAGGAGGAGGAGGAGGAGGAGAATGAGCAGGAGCAGTAAAAGGAAAAGGGAGACGGAGGGGGACGATACGTTGAAGGTGAGGGGGGTATGACTAGTATGAAGGGTGGGGGCGGAGCACGATCGCGCATCTGCTCGATACTAGCATTACTTGCAGTATACCTTATCATTGGTTTTGCTCATGCGCGTTGTCCGTCAGTGGACATGCAGTTCGAGAGTCACACCTCACGACGCTGTAAGAACGATCCTGTGTCGACTCAATCTAATTAGATTGTGTATTGCAGGAGGAGGGGGGATGTGCAAGGAGCAGGGGTGATGGGAATGGGGGGGGGGGGTCAGAGGAAGTGAAGAAGACGACGGGACGATGGACAGGGGGCATACGAAGGAATTGATGAGGTTGATGTTATTGTGGTTGTTGTGATTCTTCTTGATGGTGCTGATTCTGATGATGGTGATGATAACGACGGTGGTGGTGGTTTGTGTTGTTGTTGGTAGCGACGAGGATGAGGAGGACGAGGATATGTTGGTGATACTGCTGATGCTGATGCTGCTGATGATCATGAGGATCTCTGCAGATGGTGATGCTGTTGCTGATGATGATGGTGATGCTGTCGATGTCGATGATGATGTTGCTGATGATGCTGTTGATGATGTTGATGATGCTGATGATGATGCTGATGCGGCAGATGATGCTGATTATGATGACGATGATGGTGGTGGTGCTGCTGCTGACGATGATACTGATGATGCTGATGCTGATGGTGATGCTTCTGCTGATGATGCTGATGATGGTGGTGGTGGTGGTTCTGATGGCAGTGGCGACGATGGTGACGATCAGGATGGATATCACAGTTCTTATGAGGATGATGATGCTGATGCTGATGCTGACATTGATGCTGATGCTGATCGTGACGATAATGATCCTGCTGCTGCTGCTGATTTGATTGTGATGCTGAAGCTGAGAAGGAGGAGGTTCAGCAGGAGGATGAACAGGAGTAGAAGGATGAGAGGCAGGAGGGGGAGGAGGGGGAGGAGAAGGACGGCAGGCTGCGTCTCTACGAGACTCCAGAGCCTTTAGCAGCAGCAGGAGGAGGGCGGCCGTGCGGTCAGGCGACTTCCTGCGGTGCTGCATGTCCATCACGGATGCCAACGGGCACCCTCCGATTCGTGGGGTGATGGGGTAGCGGATCTCACGGCCGTCGGCGTCTTGGGGATCGCCGACATGGGCTCCTCCCCCCTATCCCCCCTCCTCATTCCACTTCTTCCGCTCCTGTGGTGTTGTCACGCGAGGTCATCTGGTGCATGCCGCGCGCACTTACGATCCATCGTCTCATTACACCTGCCCCATTGAACGAAACTGACTACAGGGCATGCGCATATATTGCTCGGGGGTTGACAGACCTCCTACCCTGACACGTCGATTAAGGAATTGGCCGTTTTTGGCTCGCGAGAGGGCGTCGCGGCCGTCATTTTTGCGGGTCCAGGTTCGTCGGTTTCGGTCCCAGGCCGTTTTCACTAAGGGGAGGTCTACTAAGGGAGGTTTGTCCACCGCCGAATTGCGACTTGGAGTGCTGGCTTGCGGTGGTGGGGACGGGGTTTCCCCGCTCCCGCTTTCGGGCCCCGCCCCGGGCGCTCCTCCTCTCTGCGGTGGCGGGACGGAGCTGCCGCGCTCCCCCCGCTCCTGGGCAGCGAGCGCGGACTTCTCGAGCAGGAGCGCGGGCTTTGTTGGACAGCTGTGATCGGCCCCATTTTCCACCACACGACCATCGGTAGGAGAAGGAGGAGGAGGAGGAGGAGGAGGAGGAGAAGAAGGAGGAGGAGGAGGAAAAGGACCTCCTTATCCTCCCTTCCCCCCCGTCCTACATCTGGTAGTGGTGGTGGAAATTTTGCCCATCAAGTTGGGTTCTGGCGGCGGGCGAGGAGCACCCGCCCTGCGGTTGCGCTGCTGTTGGGGGACCTGGTTCGGCGCGTCCCCGAGCACGAGCCCGGCCCTCTCGCTGCCCCTCCTGGGCCCTCCGCAGCCCTCGGTGGCCCGAAAGCTGCGCCAGGTACACGCAGCAGGGAAGAATGGTATTCCCCCCAGGAGGGGGTACGATCGAAGACGAGGATGGGGGGTATCCAGGGTTTGGGGAATTGTTGTCGATGTTGTTGTTGTTGTTGTTGTTGTTGTTGTTGTTGTTGTTGGTGTGGTTGTTGGTGTTGTTGTTATTGTTGTTGTTGTTGTTGTTGTTGTTGTTGTTGTTTTGGTTATTGTTGTTGTTGTTGTTGGTGTTGTTGCTGTTGTTGTTGTTGAGGGTGTTGCTGATGATGTTGTTTTGGTTGTTGTTGTTGCTGCTGCTGCTGTTATTGTTGTTGTTGCTGCTGCTGCTATGGTTGTTGTTGTTGTTGCTGCTGCTACTGTTGCTTGAGACTTCCTCGCAATTTAATCAACTTGCCAGAGGCCTAGCCACGACGACAAGGGCTCTTGCTCGATAGTTCCTCACGATTTACCTCCGAGAGCCGTTGGTCAGGAAGGTCACGGCGCTCACGCTCGAAAATTTCTCGTGGTTCAGTCAGATTGGTGGAGGCCCAACTGCGACGACAAGGTCTCGTTCGGTACTTCCTCAAGATAGATTCGCGAAGGCCCTTGCCAGAGAGGCCCCCGAACTCAAGAGTGGCGCTCTCGCTCGAGGCCTCTTGTAATTTGTAATTCGGGCAAGTTGGTGGAGGCCCGGACTGGGCGACAAGGGTTCCCGTTCGATATTTCTCCATAGGTATTCCGAGAGCCCCTGGCCAGAGAGGCCCCCGAACTCAGGAACGGCGCTCTCGCTCGAGACTTCCTCGCACTTCAGTCAGTGGCCGTGGCCGACAAGGAAGATATTCCACCCGAGAGGTGCAATCGAAGACGAGATGGGCGGGTGTCGAGGGTCGGGGTATACAGGATGTTGAGGGTGTCGAGGTGCAATCGAAGACACGCGTGCCAGTAAGAGCGAGCAGTCTTGAAATGATTATTGTTGTTGTTGTTGTTGTTGTTGTTGTTGTTGTTGAACATTATTTCTTCTTAAGAATAATTATTGTTGGGACCCCTGGTGCGCGACCCCCCCGCCGCGCCTAGGCCGCAGCCTCATTTTCATCATTTTCGTGAGGAAGTCTCAGGCAAAACGGGTTGGTCCGGATCCGGTTGTGTTGTTACGATCGGTTTTCCCTTGCAAAAAATAGCTAAAGTGGACATTTCTTGTTCTAACATAACCAAACTTCAAGAATCCCTTGCAAAAAATAAGGTAAAGTGGACATTCGCGCGCGCAAGACGAAATCCTTCCAAAACCTTAGTTTTCGTAGCGATTTTAACATAAAAACATCAAAAAACCAATGGTTTTTCAAAAAAAAATGTCAAAATTTCATCCCGCGCGCTCTTGCGGATTCGTAGGAAACCCAACACTTTTTAAACATTTCTGTCAAACGGGCTTTTGCGAGCAACTTTTTCGAACTTCTGCAACAACGGTTGCGCACCTGCCAGGGCCATCATCCCTGTCAAATAATACCATGCGGGACACATTCGTTTTTTCTTCGCGCGCGCACGCCGTCGTCGTCGGCCGCGGGGCCCTGAATAGTAGCCACGGTCGTCCGCATGCCACGAAGTGAAGTGTCCGAACGTCATAGGGCGGGAAGCTGGGTGTGGGTGGTGGCGAAGAGTCGTTTGGAAATTTGGTAGAGCTTGAACCGGCCCCCCCACAAAGTGGGGGTATTGCCCGCCTCCTATGAAAACCCTGGCACTGGTGAGAACGGAGTGTCCCCACGTGCTAGTAATTGTTGTTGTTGTTGTTGTTGTTGTTGTTGTTGTTGTTGTTGAACTCATTACTCAAGAGTAATTATTGTTGATTCCCCCCCTCCGGTGACCATTGCGTTTTTTTGTCACTTGAAGTGCTTCTCCTGGGGCTCGCACCCGTTTTTTTTATCAGGGAACGACTCTAGGCTCAAACTGGGCCCTTGGCCCCCGAGTTACAACAACAACGGCCCGCGGGATACTTCTTCACAATTTATTCCCAAATCGCGCTTTCGCGCGGGATTTCCTCACAATTCATGCGCGCATTGCGCTCTCGCGTGGGACGCCCTCGCAATTTATTCAGACGATGCGCCCTCGGCGCTCAGGAATCATGCTCTCGCTGTGGCTTTTCTCACGATTTACTTGGGAATCGCGCTATCGCTCGAGACTTCCTCGCGATTCATGCAGGACCCACGCTTCAGCAACCCGCCTGCTCGACCTCGTCGCCTGGGCTCGCCTTCCCAACATGCCCGCTATGGGTCTGCCCATCCGATCTGCCCGTCTGGTTAAACCATTTGTTGTCTGCTCCTTGCTCCCCTCCTGCTAATTTCTCTCGTGCTCCATTCTTCTCCCTCCCCCTTCGACCCGTCCTCTTTTTCCTTGTTTTAGGGGCTGCGCTAAATGCACGTGGCAGGCAAGGAATACATACCCCCAAGGGGTTACGATCGAAGACGACGATGGCGGGTATCGAGGGTTTGGGATGTACGTATTGATTGGCACGTGAGCAGAGCAGGTAGGGGCGAAACGTCTTGAAATGGTTGTTGTTGTTGTGGTGGTGGTGGTGGTGGTGGTGGTAGTTGTTGAACATTATTAATTCTAAAGAATAATTATTGTTGGGACCCCTGGTGCACGGCCCCCCCGCCGCGCCTAGGCCGCAGCTACATTTTCATCATTTTTTCGCGAAAGCTTCAGAAAAGTGGATGGGGTCCAGATCCGGTTGTTTTGTTGTAATCCGTTTTCCCTTGCAAAAAACACTATAAAATGACATTTCTTGTTCTAATATAATCAAATTTCAAGAATCCCTTGCAAAAAATAAGGTAAAGTGGACATTCGCGCGCGCAAGACGAAATCCTTCCAAAAGCTTAGTGTTCGGAGCGATTTTAACATAAAAACATCAAAAAACCAATGGTTTTTCAACAAAAAAATGTCAAAATCTCATCCCGCGCGCTCTTGCGGATTCGTAGGAAACCCAACACTTTTTAAACATTTCTGTCAAACGGGCTTTTGCGAGCAACTTTTTCGAACTTCTGCGACAACGGTTGCGCACCTGCCAGGGCCATCATCCCTGTCAAATAATACCATGCGGGACACATTCGTTTTTTCTTCGCGCGCGCACGCCGAAATCTCCAAAAACCATTGGGCTTCTTAAGAATTTTAGCACCGCGCATCATAAAATCACACGAATCGCACCGTAGGTCCTCGAAAAACACCTGCACGACTTTTCAAAATTTCTACCCGCGCGCGCTGTCCTAACAACTTCTGTGGGTGTGTACTCCACGCCAGTGTAGTAGCCACGGTCGTCCGCAGGCCACGAAGTGAAGTGTCCGAACGTCATAGGGCGGGAAGCTGGGTGTGGGTGGTGGCGAAGAGTCGTGTGGATATTTGGTAGAGCTTGCACTGCCCCCCCACAAAGTGGGGGTATTGGCTGGCGTCGCATGAAAACCCTGGCACTGGTGAGAACACTGAGCGTTCGGGTAAAGTGATTGTTGTTGTTGTTGTTGTTGTTGTTGTTGAACATTATTACTTCTAAAGAATAATTATTGTTGGGGCCCCTGGTGCATGGCCCCCCCGCCGCGCCTAGGCCGCAGCCTCATTTTCATCATTTTCGTGAGGAAGTCTCAGGTAAAACGATGTCATCCAGATCCGGTTGTGTTGTTACGATCGGTTTTCCCTTGCAAAAAATAAGCTAAAGTTGACATTTCTTGTTCTAACATAACCAAACTTCAAGAATCCCTTGCAAAAATAAGGTAAAGTGGACATTCGCGCGCGCAAGACGAAATCCTTCCAAAACCTTAGTGTTCGTAGCGATTTTAACATAAAAACATCAAAAAACCAATGTTTTTTTTTTTTCAAAAAATTCAAAATTTCATCCCGCGCGCTCTTGCGGATTCGTAGGAAACCCAACACTTTTTAATCATTTCTGTCAAACGGGCTTTTGCGAGCAACTTTTTCGAACTTCTGCAACAACGGTTGCGCACCTGCCAGGGCCATCATCCCTGTCAAATAATACCATGCGGGACACATTCGTTTTTTCTTCGCGCGCGCACGCCGTCGTCGTCGGCCGCGGGGCCCTGAATAGTAGCCACGGTCGTCCGCATGCCACGAAGTGAAGTGTCCGAACGTCATAGGGCGGGAAGCTGGGTGTGGGTGGTGGCGAAGAGTCGTTTGGAAATTTGGTAGAGCTTGAACCGGCCCCCCCACAAAGTGGGGGTATTGCCCGCCTCCTATGAAAACCCTGGCACTGGTGAGAACGGTGTGTCCCCACGTGCTAGTAATTGTTGTTGTTGTTGTTGTTGTTGTTGTTGTTGTTGTTGTTGTTGTTGTTGTCGTTGTCGTTGTCGTTGTCGTTGTCGTTGTCGTTGTCGTTGTCGTTGTCGTTGTCGTCGTTGCTGCTGCTGCTGCTGCTGTTGTTGTTGTTGTTGTTGTTGTTGTTGTTGTTGTTGTCGTTGCTGTTGTTGTTGTTGTTGTTGTTGTTGTTGTTGTTGCTGAATATTCATTATGAAGCATATTATTGATGGTCACCAGAAGCGGTTCGGCGCGCTCTCGCCTCGACGCCGGCTACATTTTCTCTGATAACGAGGCTCCCGCTCGAGCGTTGGCTTGAATGTAAATGTGGGCCGTTGGAGGCCCAGCTACGACAAAAACGGCTCCCGCTCGATATTTCTTCACAATTTACTCCGAGACACCCTGGCCAGAAAGGCCCTCGAACTCATGAGCGGCGCTCTCGCTCGAGACTTCTTCGCAATTCAATCAAGTTGGCGGATGCCCAGCCACGACGACTAGGGCTCCTGCTCGACACTTTCTCACAATGTACCCCGAGACACCCTGGCCAGGGAGGCCCCCGAACTCAGGAGCGGCGCTCTCGCTCGAGACTTCCTCGCAATTCAATCAAGCTGGCGGAGGCCCAGCCACGACGACAAGGGCTCCTGCTCGATACTTCCTCACGGTTTGTTTCGAGAGCCCCTGGCCAAGAAGGCCCCCGAACTCATGAACGGCGCTCTCGCTCGAGACTTTCTCGTAATTTAGACAAGTTGGTTGAGGCCCGGACACGGCGACAAGGGTTCTCGTTCGATATTTCTCCACAGGTAGTCCGAGAGCCCCTGGCCAGAGAGGCCCCCGAACTTAGGAACGGCGCTCTCGCTCGAGACTTCCTCGCACTTCAGTCAGTGGTCGACATGGAAGAGATTCCCCCCCGAAATGGGGTGCAATCGAAGACGAAGTGGGCTGGTATCGAGGGTTGGGGAATACGGAATGCAAGACACGCGTGCCAGTAAGAGCGAACAGAGTTAAGATGATTGTTGTGGTTGTGGTTGTGGTTGTGGTTGTGGTTGTGGTTGTGGTTGTGGTTGTGGTTGTGGTTGTGGTTGTGGTTGTTGTTGTTGTTGTTGTTGTTGTTGTTGTTGTTGTTGTTGTTGTTGTTGTTGTTGTTGTTGTTGTTGTTGTTGTCGTGGTGGTTGTTGTTGTTGTGGTTGTGGTTGTGGTTGTGTTTTTTTGTCGCTGTGCTGCTGTTGTACTTCGGAATTCCTCCTCCTCCTCCTCCTCCTCCTCCTCCTCTCCAGACATCGCCCCGCAAACGAGTGCACCTCGCCCTGCCTCGCCCCGCCTCCTGCAGCCGCCCACCGCCGCGGCGGAAGGTACCTCGGCCGCTGCCACATGCACGTCTTCTCCGCCCGGCAGGCCGAGCTGCTGCTGCGGCGGTCGTTCGGCGGCCACTGCGCGGGCGCCCCCCGCTTCGCGAGGCTGCTGGACGTGGGCGCCGGGGACGGCCACGTCACGGGCGGGGCCCTCGGTGGGCAGGCTCCTCCTCGACGGCCTCCGCCCCGTTCTCCCCGGGTGTGCTGGCCTCGCGACCGGAAGGTCTCGACGGGCGTCCTGGCCCCAGGGCCCTCGCGGATCGATCCCGCCCGCGGGATGCCGCAGGGAGATCTTCCTGTGGGGTTGGGTCCTCGTGTCGAGGAGGGCAACGCGCGTCACCTCCTCCTCGCTGCTCTCCCCCCCCCCCCTGCCCTGCTCTCCTGTCCCCCTCCCCAGCCCCGCCTCTGCGCTCCGCTTGCCTGCCCGGTCGTGCACCTGAGCGGTGGGCGAGGGCTGGCCAGGGCCTCGGCGCGCCTGCCGCGAGGAAGAAGCCGAAGGCCACCACGCACACGTGCAGGAGAGGAAAAACACACACACACAGACACAATCAATCGGCGATCCCCAGAAAAAATGGGAAAATATGGGAAGTGGGGGGGAAGACAGAAACCCAGAAAGTATGGGAGAATATGGGGAATATTTTTATTTGTGTGTACTTATTTGTGTGTCCCAGTTCCCCTTCACACATGCAGGACCTGAGAAAACAGCGAGGAGAGAGCTGCCGTGGAGCGGATGGCCAGGGAGCCGACGAGCACCGCGAGGCACCACGGCGGACTGCACGACCGCGAGGCACGCCGTCCGCCCGAAGCCAGCGCCCAGTCTCGCCAGTCCCTTGGCGCGCAGGCCCAGCAAGTGGCCAAGCCGCGGGCAGCGCAGCAGAAAAGTTCTTGGGAATCATTCTCGAGTCTGTTCAGCTCGGCGGGGCACAGGAGGCGCGTGAGCCGCTGGCACTTGAACCCAATGGCGGTTCCGTGGAATACCAGGCTCACCCGACGCAGGGCGGCTTAAAATGATCAAGAACTCGTCCTGTGGGATATGATCTGGGTGCATGCACATTCGGTGCACCCCTCACACGTTTCGTGGCCCCGTAGAGAGTTCCACCACATGTCGTGCTGGCACAGTTCGCATGCGCCCCCCACGGTCATTTTGGCACACTATTCACGCGTTTGGTGGCCCCATAGGGAACTCCACCGAAGGTCCCGCTGGCACAGTTCGCATGCGTCACCCCCGCCCAATTCGGCACGCCACTCACGCGCTCATACGGCGCTCCACCGAACGTCCCAGGGAGACCCTCCATTCCAAACCGGCCGATCGGGGCTCCCGTGGGAAGGGTGTGAGGAGGGACGACTATCCCACACGCAGAGGAATCCGCAAGGGGTCGGCGAACTTTGTTGCTGATGGGATATTGACAATGCTCCTAGCTCTCATTATCGACGTCGTTGTCGGCATCGTCCTCCTCTTCCTCCGCCGCATCCTTTCATCCACCCACTCCATCCACCATCTCCACCTCTAGCTTTAAGTCGGGCCTGTCCCTCTACAGGAGGAATATTCCAAAATAGCACAAGAAATGGTGCGGGGACGATTCTGTGAGTATGTTGGAGTATTTCTTTTAATATGTTTTGACTTTTTTATTTATCGTCCACAATCGGCCTGTAGGGGGACTTGCCCGACCTAACTCTAGCCCCACCTTCTTCACCCTCATCACCATCACCACCATCGTTCCGTTGACCTTTGCGGTTCCGCGCCCGGGCCTCTGCCGAGATTTTTTTGGTGCTCCTCTCCACTGGAGCACACCCGAGGTCTCAAAACAGGGACGGGGTGGTCACGCGCAGGTTGTCCTGGGGCATCAAACTCCCGCATGGGCGATATCTGCCGACTAATTCATTCGGCAGGGTGTGCACCAAGCGCCACCCCGTCCTTACTGGGGTGCTTGCCCTTGAGGATCCTGCATTTTTGTACCTCAGGGTTGTTTCTCTTGGCGTGCCCTGAGTCCTCCGCAAGAGCATTGAAAGGACACATGGTCGTGATAGCTTTGCATCTCACGCACACGAACAAACCCGAACCATCCGAGCACTGCAACGAACGTAATACGGAACATATGGATGGAGGCGACTGCACTCAACTCGGGAGGAACGGAGCCAGAACAACCTTCAGACGAGGGCATGGTCGATTCGACAAGCATGAATTTAGCTTGCCTGCGAATCTTCAGGCACATTCTGCACCTCCAGCAGAATGTGCGTCACTTCCAGTCGTGGTGAACACTTTTCCTGGCCATGGACTTTGAAGCTGGCTTGCTATGGGCCAGCGGGCAGCCTTGCAGATCCAGCGCTGGCCAGAATGGCAGCAGACGGATGGCTGGGCGGCAAACGGCCTTGGCAACGTTCACCTTCGAACCCAGTGGGTGAAACGGGATGGCGTGCTTCGCTGCATGATCTGCAGCGTCGTTACCAAACTCCTCTAAGCGCAGCTGGGGTGCTAAACCTGTAGCGTATGTAACATGCATTTCCCGTTTGCGGGCCTAAGACACGCAAGCAGGCTGCGCAGTTATTATCGTGCCCGCATGTGTACTGTCGTAGCTGAGTTGCGGACTGCAAGGACGAGAGGTTTCACGAAGGCAGTCGGAGTAGCCCGACGTGGACCCTGAAAGATTCTGAGCCATCATCGCAAGGGCCCAAACTTCTCCTGTCTGAGGCGTCTGACGAATTGGGGCCTGTACTGTGCCGCCAACCAAGCACAGCTCCCGAGACTCCAGGCTTTAACTGCACACATCTCCTTGAGGGCCTGCGGAGCTCCACTCCCCAGAACAGGATCCGTGCCCACGAGGTTTTCGCCGTCCACGAGTCCCTGGTGCCACAAGTGAACCTTCAGAAACCTCTCGGGCCACACTGCTATGTGTACGTCCTCCCTGCCGTTGGCGTGGTAGTACGTCACCTGGATGCTCAAACAACCGTGCAGTGAAGAGCAATACTTCCTCAGCGTCTGGGAGATCGGCCGACTCTGACGCATGGATGATGGCTGGACCGATGAGTTCCATTCTCTTATCTGCAACTCTTGGGCACTTCACAAGCAGTGCCAGACTGAGTCTGGCGAGCTGCTGCCCGGGGGACTCTGAAGTGATGTCGCTTGATAATCTGATAACGGAATTGAATCGCATGATCCATTGTCCAAAGAGTCCCGGAATATTTGGATTTGACGCCACATCGAACCATACCCAGCAACTGACAGTTTGATTATTTTCTTCGACAGTTCCCAGCTGTTTCAAGACATATCCATGTAGCATCATGTTAGCCAGCGTGGACCACAATCAGTGGCTCCCTATAATATTTGCGGTGTTCTCTAGATTGTGCAATCAATGTGGCACAATCTAGGTGGTGCAATCCATATCGTGTCATCAGTGTGGCGTAAAGCAATGCAAAGCCGTGCTTTGCAATGCAAAGCACGGCAACGCAATTCAAAATTATCCCAGTGCGACCCTACCTAGGAGTTGGAGCCTCTAGGAAAGCAGCATTAGTAGGAGCGGTAAGCGCCGTCCTCCTTCTCCTCATCGTCGTAGTTGTAGCAGTAACGGTAGTAGTAGTAGTAGTAGTAGTAGTAGTAGTAGTAGTAGTAGTAGTAGTAGTAGTAGTAGTAGTAGTAGTAGTAGTAGTAGTAGTAGTAGTAGTAGTAGTAGTAGTAGTAGTAGTAGTAGTAGTAGTAGTAGTAGTAGTAGTAGTAGTAGTAGTAGTAGTAGTAGTAGTAGTAGTAGTAGTAGTAGTAGGTAGTAGTAGTAGTAGTAGTAGTAGTAGTAGTAGTAGTAGTCGTAGTCGTAGTCGTAGTAGTAGTAGTAGTAGTAGTAGTAGTAGTAGTAGTAGTAGTAGTAGTAGTAGTAGTAGTAGTAGTAGTAGTAGTAGTAGTAGTAGTAGTAGCGCCAGAACCGCCGACGCCACGCCGTAAGTGAAGCAGCAGCAGAAGCAGGCAGCAAGTCGCCGAGACAGCAGCAAAAGCAAGCAGGCACGGAGATGAGGGCGGGGCACTGGGGAGTTCTTTACATCTACATCTATATATATATATATATGCACCTACATCTACATCGACACCTACATCTACATCTAGACCTACATCTACATCTACACCTACAGCTACAGCTACATCTACACCTGCATCTACATCTACATCTACATCAACAGCGAGACTCACATCTAAATCTACATCGGGTTTCATGTCTCCCGGCCGGTACTATGTGCGAAACCTTGGTGAATCCTAAGGGCTCAAGTTGCCCCATTAAGGGCTCAAGATGGCCCACAGACGGACAACATGCATGGAACATACGTGCGCACACACACACATATATAAGTACATGCTATGCTATGCTCTGCTCTGCTATGCTCTGCTCTGCTATGCTATGCTATGCTATGCTAATCTATGCTATGCTATGCTATGTTATGCTATGCTATGCTATGCTATGCTATGCTGCGCAATGCTATGCTATGCTAATCTATGCTATGCTATGCTATGCTATGCTATGCTGCACAATGCTATGCTGGGCTAGGCTAGGCTAGGCTATGCTATGCTATCATATGCTATGCTATGCTGCGCTATGCTATGCTATGCTATGCGATACCATGCTATGCTTTTGCTTTGCCTTCTCTTTTGCCTTCACTTTTGCTTTTGCTTTTGCTTGGCACCTAGGGAGCGCAACTGAGGGGGAACCGCGCGTTTGTTTTTATCTTTGCTGTTGCTTTTGCTTGGCTCCCAGGGGACTGGGGGAACCGCCCGGGGCGGTTTGCACTGCCCGGCCCCTTTAAGCCAAGCGAGTAAGAATTTTTCTATGCAGAACCTAGGTAGGGAACAGGGCAAAACAATGCAAAGTCATGCAATACAGTGCACAACACCTCCTAGCAGTGCAGCGCAGTGCAAAGCAACGCAAAGCAATGACAATTCATGCTTTGCACTGCTTTGCCATGCTTTGCGCTGCTTTGCAGTGTAACGCAATGCAAATCAACGCAACGCAATACAAACCTGTGCAAAACAATGCAAATCAATATAAAGCAATAGCACAGCAATTCGGTTGCAAAACCATGCAACGCAATTCAAAGCAATGCGACTGCAATGCAAAGCAATATAGAGCCATGCGAAGCAATGCAATGCGATCGAAATGCAAGGCGA